TTCCAGTTAGGGAAGAAGAACCTTATAAAGTTTGGGACATTTGAGAGTTCCAAAATGGCAAAAGCAAATAGGTGGTGGTAACCTCCACCTCAAATGGCCCCAAAGCCAAGCAAATGATGCCTGACCTTGGACCTTGGAAAAGAATAGAGGGGGCAATGCTAAGTACATCCATAGGTACTTATAATCTTATAATATAGGTTGCTCACGACCGGGGGCATCCCCTCTACATGAATCAACCAACTGTGTGTGACGCAAACAGTCCGAGAAAGAACCACATTCACATGAAAATCCAGGATGTCGAACTGAAAAGGACCCTGGTTTCGCAAGGTGTTGATGGTTTTGGACCCAAACATCTAGACCCTCACGAAAGGGTTTTCATAACAGTCGTACCGAACCTGAGAAGGTGGGACTAGGGTGGGTGCCATTGTCGGGTCCAGTCATACCGAACCTGAGGAGGTACGAGGTACGAGGTGTAGGGAATATCCTTGAATGTGGCAAATCAGTAGCAAGTTTTTCACTGTCCTTGAATGCGCGGCCAACTATATCTACCGTCTGAGCAGCAACGTCTGAGCAAGAGATCAATCCAAATCCCTCCTGATCCTCGGGAAAACGATCAAGAAAGCTTCGCGCGCTGCGAAGCAACAACCTACCGAACCGAACCTGAGGAGGTACGAGGTGTCGGTGTAGAGACTTGTTTCTTTTTCAGGACTTCCTCACGTCTTCTTCCCGTCTTCGATCCTTCGTCCGACATGCTTCGACCGAAAAAAAAAACGCTACGTGCGACTCTCCACCGGTCCGTCGACCGAAGTACGTAGACCGAAGTACTTCGGTCCTTTTCCCAAACGGCATCTCCTTCGACCTGTAAAGCCTCCTGCTTTAGCTTCCTCAAGGCGCGGCGGAATGGCGCGGCCCGAAATTGCGAAGGAGCTGGCGCGAGAAGAAACGAATGGTGTGAAGCTGGAATGGCCCCAGCTCACGCTTGTAAGAGCCCACTTTGCAAATTGCACCAACCAGCAAAACACTCTTGGTCGCTGACCCAAAAGGGCTGCTGCACCCTCATCACTATGAGGGTGCGGGTCGCGTCTGGGCACAGGCATGACAGCCATCGTAAATGGGTTGCGACCCGCCAACAAGTCCCTACCCCTTGGCGTTTTACCTCCTCCTCAAAATAGATCCTCTGTTGTCTGAAGATGAGCAAACACAATTGCCACCCAGGATGCATGCAAAACAGCAAGGCAAACATCCTATTCAATATCCGCACGAAACAACACCATGCGCTTTCATCACAAAATGTAGAAGTTCAATTCCAGGGGCTCGCAAAACAATGTACAAGTAGAAGGACCAGAAACATGACACTAGCAAACAACAATCACCACAACAACGACAGCAATGGCAAATGCAACGAACAGTGTAACAACAGCATCCCCAGACCTAGCTATAAATCTATAAAACATAAGAAACACAAAGCAAACCTAGGTCGACCATCACCACATGCACGGTAAAAAACACCGCATCGCACGGCACCGCACTGTTCGCCCTTCCTTCGCGGCTCCAAGTCTCTCATCATGCACCAGTTGCAAGACCACGTCAGCGAGCTTCTTCGTCTCCACGTCTTGAGGGCTCATGGGCATCAGCAAGTGCCAGCTCACCATGACTCCGAAGAAGGCCAGGCCAAAAAAGAGCACCGCCGCAATCAACATCCAAAGGATGATCCTGACGGAGCTCGGAGCCACGGGCATCGCCGCATCGCGAACGGGGGCCGAACGGGGCGAAGTACTTGGCATCGGCTAAACGTACGAAGGGAGCAAGGACGCTAGTAGGAAAAATGATGCACCTGTGGGTCCCTCGATGATCCTTTTGTTTTCATGTCATGTTTTCACACTCCATGCCACTGGACATGCCTGGACACACATGGACCAAGACTCGTCGCGTAGCACCCCACCCCGGTGATCAGTCACTTTGCCAGTCTCGTCGTGTCTGCGTAGATCATGAGGTCCCCCAAAACGCTGCGGACCGAACACAGGCAAAGTCTGGGCTCCAAGCCCGTCGTGTCTGTCGCTGGGGTGGCGTCATGCGGCCGAACTTTGAGCAAGGCTGTGGAGTGGCTTTGCAGATGAGGGGATGCAACAGCAAGTGCCACGTGGGTGGAAGATGTTCTTGTGAAGAGTTTTGTATGGAAACTATGTGAAGCTGAGAGATGGTGTGCGCTAACTCTTGCGGGTTCCATTTGTTCACAAAAGCGCAGCGAGATTTAAAAGGAACTTGTGGTAATGAAGTCGGAGATTGGCATTCCTGTAGACTGTAGTAGTCCAGGGACATATCTTATTTGCAACATCAATCCACACTTTCATGAACAATCCAACCGTATGTGTTATATCGTCTATATACGCCATCCAATGTTCACGTCTCTAGTTGACCCAGCATTTTGAAGCGGGTGAAGCCGTAGAAACATATCGGGTTGGTGCTTTCAACCCACTTGAAAAATGTTAGTCAGTGGGCTCAATCATCCCAAGTAAGGGATGAAAATATATTCGAAACCATCACCTAGATATCAAACAATGCAGAAAACAAGATAACAAAAAACAAATAAACGCCCTCAGATTGATGTAGAACCACATATGATACTTTAAGGGCACAATCCCACTCGGGATGTTCTTCCTCATGTGGCTCACCACCCTATCATCCACGGGTGCCCAACAATCTCAACCAAATGATATAAAATGATCTAAAATGATAAAGAGGAGGTTTTTCAATTCAACTGATTAAAATTCAACTGATTTCAATTCATGTAGACTCTTGATTAATAAACAAGAAGAGGTATTTTTTCTTCAACTGTGTGGGACGTATTCATCAAGAGTCTATCTATTCGCCCCCTCAAAGAAAAAACCATGTTCACTGCCTAAGGCTCATTCGCGGCACATCGCTCGATGGTGGACCTCGTACCACCAACAGCTCCTCCTGCTCGCCATCGCCCATGGGCGTTGCCCCGCGCCACGCCGGCAAGCCCGGCGTCCGGCTGAGCCCGGCGTCCAGCGGCGCGGCAAGACCAAAGACTTGACCCGTTTCCGACCCAAACACTCCATGGGACTGGAATATATGCCGCCCATTGCCGCCCCAGAAAGACGCCCCAAAGCACCAATGTAGGCAAATATTGCATGGAGTGTCTGGGAAATACGGCTCGGGCTTTACAGATTTTACGAGAATGCAGAGCTGTTTTCACCGGTGCTTTCGTCACTCTTTGAGGGCTCTACTATTGTCACTTCCACATTGCAACATTCACTACGTTTGTCCACTTCCTCCTAACTACCATGGGTGTATCTCAAGCCCATCTGTATGATGGTATGTGCAACAAAGCACATTTGGCATTCCCTCCCCCTTAGTTGTTTCATCCTGCAGCTACCTCTCAGATGAGGGCCCCCTCCTCAATCATCGAATGCGTATGAGTAAGAAGCCTTAATGCACTGCTTGGCTGCAGCAGATAAAAAGCCTGCTGGAGACAGGAAATGATTAGAACCATATCTGCCGAGGATAGGTCATTATTGCCACATCGTTCCCAATGCTTTTGGGCTTCGCTTGCTTTTGACTCTGTGAAAAAACACCTTCCTACTCTTCACAAGAAAGATCGACGCTTGGAGGACCAACTCGATCTGGGGAACGCATTCGTGGCTGAAGGCCTCAGAAAAAGACAGGGCCCTCTTCTTCAAAGTGACCCTTTGAAGAAGTCGCTCGTTGAGGTCACTTGGTGAGGCTCAAAAGTTCATGGACGAAGCGGGGGGTTCTTTTCATGCACATGGACCGATGATGCCCAGCTTCCCGCTGTGACTGACGGGGCCGGCGTCTACCAAATATTCGGCCGAAGACGGGGCGCTCCACAGCAATCACCCAGCACATCCCAGCACCGTTTTAAGGATTGAACGGCAAAGACACGTCCAAACCAGCAGTGTACACCTTGCGACCGACCAAGAACCTGGCGATTAACCAGAATTAGCTTGGCGATTGAGCAGTCTTGTATTGAACCAAACCGCCACCCGGTTTAGCTCTTTCTTAGCAGTTTCCAAACCTAAACTCACAATCATGAACTCGAGTATCGACTCGGAAGAAAACTGTAGTTTTGTGTTGAGATAATGTATTCATCGATTTGGTTCCCCTTATTGCCCTAAGTCTGTAGGGTGAATTCTCAGTGTTACAACAATGCTTTGACCTTGAAGGAGGGTGCAAAGTTCAAATGGATCCATGTTTCTTGGCGTTATCATATAGGACGGAATGGTTGGGATGATGAACTCTCTCTCTCTCTATTTATATAATTATATACATATATCTATATAGACTTGGTTTGAAGATGTTTTGAATGGATACACTCTTTGAACCATCTTGAAACAATCATGGAAGTGGAACATGGCCCCCTGGAAAACTATTTTCCTCTACAAGTTGGGCCTGCTTAGCTTCCATGATTGCCTGAGGGTGGATATAGATTTTGAAGGCGTTTGGCGTTTGAAGGAAGACAAAACTATCAATTTAGAGGGTCTCTGGGATGTTTGACCTTCGGCGAACTCTGGAGAATCTCAGCCAATTGTATATAGCCCAATCTAGAACATTTGGATCTCAAACACTCTGTCTGGAAGTATTGATCTTCGTTTGAATAACGTTAAGGGGTTGATGCATCAACGCCCACGAGAGGTCAATATCCAGATCAACGGGCGTTGGGGTGAGGACATGGACCGACTCCCGATGCTGGCTCGATCCAAAGAACATCAAAGAACATAAGCGTTCACCGAACTGTCCATCGGTTCTTGTTTAGTGGGGTGTCCCCAATCCATCCCAAACCCTAGGGATCCACATACCTTCTCAGAATGTACTTGGACCTTCCTGGCACCTACACAAAAGTGCCTCCAGCCACCCTCTCAGAGAGGGTATGTGGATCCAGTCAATCATCCAGGACCTTCCAAAGTCCGGTGGTTTTTGGACACTCCAAATTACCTCAATCACGGCTGCCGAACCGCCTTCCAGCTCGATCTTTGCCGAGTGGGCCGCTGAGCGTACCGTCGAATCCTCATCCTGGCATCGTGCGGTCGGTGAGAGCGACGCGACGTTTTCCCAACCCTTGGATTGGCGGAGCTGGCAAAAAAACAACAAATATATATATATATATCCCTTGAAGACGATCCCATGGACCCTGAAAACCACTGGTTGGTAGAGTTGGAACCCCTCTTTCCAGGTAGAGACTAAGAAACCCAAAAACATTCAAAATAAAAAATACAACCCTGAAATGGTGTTTTTTGCATGGTTCTACGTCCTAACTGGCCCTGGTTTCCAAATATATGTGAGCACAATGCAAATAGCACCCAATAAGCCAAATGAATTTTGAGTCATGTTGTCCTTTTTATGTGTTGTCAAGAAGCATTTGCGCGAATTTGTTGTTTTTTGGGCGTAGGGGCAAAATAGAAACAAAGGCAGTCGGGCGCAAATCAGCCAACACCCTCGTCGACACGTCAGCAAAACGAAAAAATTACAAAATTTGGTTTCGCCACCTGTTTCGGCAATTGTTTCATGTTTAAAGTTTTTTATTTTTTGGCGGGTCGTATGTTTTTCGTATTGTTTTTGTATTTTTTCGTGGGTCGTATTGTTTTTTTCGGGTCGTATTTGTTTGTATTTGTGTTATTTTTTTTGTATTGTTTTGTATTTTTTGTATTTTTGTAGTTTGTATTTGTTGTATTTTCAAAAAGAAGTATTTTTTTGCATTGTACTTTTTCAAAAAACAAGTACAATTTTGTAGGTTTCGTACGTTCTCGTATTTTATTTTTGGAAAATACAAAAAAAATCGTATTTTTCCCGTATTTCAAAAATTGCAATTTTTCAGCCTCGAACTGCGAACCGGCAAAAACCACCGGCAATTTTTTTTGGACAACCAACGAAACGTGGTCAGGCTACTCGACAACCACGAGAGGCTGCTCCAAAGACAAGGGGGCCAGCTTCCCATCCCACCCATATCAATGCGTATCAAGTGGCAATTTACATGAATATTGCTTGCATTGTTGAATTTTTTTGTTAGGGTCGTATTTTTGAATAATACTAAAGTCAAAAGTGAATTTTTCAAAAATACAACTGATGAATTTTATTTTCCAGTCCAGGGCTTATAGGCTGTACCTAGCTCCGGGGAACCAATGGTAGAGGCCACTGGACCCGGACCCCATAGTTTTCAAAACGTGTGTTCCAGGGGTCACCTTCAACAGTTGCGCGTGCGCCGTAGGGGTGGGCTGATCCAAACAGCTGATCGATGGTCTCTTTCCGCTTAACGCAGCCGATCCAAATCCCTCTTTGGAGGAGGCCAGCACAACAAGAATCAAATGTGGCCGCAATGTTTTCTGCGAGCTGCGCAGGGTTCTCTCCACTTCGGGTAAAGGCTCTTTTGCCAATTCCCTCACGTGTTTTCGGTAAAACTTCGGGCTTGGCAGGGTTGACGCTGCAAGCAACAAGTTGACACCACGGGCATGGACATGCGCGGCCACCTCGCACAACAGTCTGCTATACCAATCCCAACATGGCCTTTCGCAGCCAAACGGTGCAACTCAAAGATGGTTGGAGTGAGCGGTCGCAACACAGCAGCTCCGGTTGCTGCACGCCGCAAAATGTTGTGTCCCGCTGCAATGGCTCGCCACTGAGCAATTTGCCAGCAGCTGACAAGCACGCAGCTTCCAAATCAATATCTTGGGTCAGCACAACGTCTCCGTCACCAAACTGGAAATTAGCGGGAACTTGTTTTGGGATCCTCGCCGCCACGAAATCTGCACTTCGAGGTTCACAAAGTGCTGTGCCATGATATCTGCACTTCGAAGTTCACTTCAAGGTTCCCAAAGAGCTGTGCCACGAGATCTTCACTTCGAAGTTCTCAAAGTGTTGTGCCTGCCACGAAATCTGCACTTCGAGGTTCACAAAGTGCTGTGCCTGCCACGAAATCTGCACTTCGAGGTTCACAAAGTGCTGTGCCTGCCACGAAAACTACACCGAGGTTGACAAAGGTCTGCGCTTGCTACGAAATCTGCACTTCGAGGTTGACAAAGTGCTGTGCCTGCCACGAAATCTGCACTTCGAGGTATACACAAAGTGCTGTGCCTGACACGAAATCTGCACGTCGAGGATCACAACGTGCTGTGCCTGCCACAAATCTACACCGAGCTTCACAAAGGTCTGTGCTTGCTACGAAGTCTGCACTTCGAGGTTCAGAAAGCGCTGTGCCTGCCACGAAATCTGCACTTCGAGGTACACAAAGTGTTGCGCCTGCCACGAAATCTGCAAACGAGCCACATGTCCAAAAGTCACGATTCACTGCACCTGTCACGAAATCAGAGCGCCTCGAAGATCACCACCATGTCCAAAGTGCTGCACCTGCCACTAAATTTGCACTTCGAAGCAATACCGCTCCAACCCCTTGCACCTGTCACGAGAAGTCGACTTGCCTTTGCGCCACAAAAACATGAAGTTTTTCCCACCCCCACACTGACTCCACTTTCCGACCAGCCTCTTGTCGCTTCTCTTGGGACGTTGCTGAAATCAAAGAAAGAAAGACAGAAACAAAGAAAGAAAGACAGAAAGAAGGAACGAAGGAAACAAGGAAAGAAGAAGGAAAGAGAGAAAGACTGAAAGCGAGAAAGAGATTCCCACCCCCGCTGACTCTACTTTCCGACCAGCCACCTCTTCTTGTTTCTCCTCTGGGATTTGGTTCGGATCCAATGGGGCCGCGTCCCCGCGCGGTGCCCACCGGTCACGGTCATGCAGGCAGGCGGGTATAGTGCAAGGGCTGGAGGTACATGTTTGCCTTTGGATCAAAGTACTTGAGCATGAAAAGCAGTGGAGCCATTTTGATCGAGCAGTGTGAGTCAGTGTTGTTTCATGGGACAGTGAAAGATGCACCGGCATACCATGAGAGATCGAACCATGCACAGTATGATCCCATTATGTGTGCATGTGTGTGTGTGTGCAAGCATTCCTGCTAGATGTGCTGCAGGACAACAACTTCCTCGACTTCGTCAACGCGCAGGACTGTCTGAGAAAGAGAAGAAGAAGGTGCCTCGTTGGCATGTCTTAATTATGTCACTGCATTAGGCCACTCTTAAACACAACATCTATTATAGTTGAGAATTGAATTCCGTGGACTGAATTGAAGCATGTTTTGACATCTTGGCCACAGACCGAAGGAAGAAAACATGTTTGTCGTGGCGGGGGGCGGCGTTTCATTTGCAATGCTTGCAATGGGCCGGAGCTGCATGCCTCCTCACTTGATGCTGGTGGTGGCACGGGTATGTGCAAAGAAGGCATAAGCTCGGCTGGCGTGCGATTGCATGTCTTCCCACCTGGCGTTTGTAGCGGGGCTTCGGCTGGCAAAGCTGTGTGCAAAGAAGGTCTCACTTGGCGTTGGTGGCGGGCCTTCAGCTGGCATGGGTACATACAAAGGAGGCACAACAGCTGGCATCGAATTAAATGTCTCCTCACTTGGTGCTGGTGGCGGGCCTTGCGCTGGCATGGGTTCAGCTGGCTTGGGTATGTACAAAGCAGGCGCAACAGCTGGCATGGAAGCGCATGTCTTCTCACTTGGGGCTGGCGGCGGGGCTTCATCTGGCATGGGTACAAAGAAGGTGCAACGGCTGGCATCGAATTGATTAATGTCTTCTAACTTGGTCCTGGTGGCTGGCATGGGTAAGTGCAAAGAAGGCATAAGCTCGGTTGGCATGGAACTGCATGTCTTCTCCCTTGGGGCTGGTGGCGGGGCTTCAGCTGGCATGGGTATGTGCAAAGTCCAATAATGGGCCATTGGGCCAGCCCCTGGGAGCATTGCCAAGAAACCCAGCACTCGCCATCAGCAGGGGTGAGTTGGGTCTGTCCTATTGTTCATAAAGGCCTTTTCATCCGCCCCAATCGAGGTCCATTTGCCCTTCCAATTAGTTGTGTTTTGGTTCTTTTTTTGCCCCAACAATCCATGGGACTGAAATACTTAAATTGGGTTTGTCTTATTACCTGTAACCGTCAGTAAGACAAGCAAATCACTATTTTTTGAACAAGGCCTGCAACCTAACCATCATCATCCACTGCTAATAGGATAGACCCAACCTATAAGCCTACAGGTATCAATTCCAGTCCCATGGAGTGTTTTGGGGATGCATGAATCCCTCAAACTCGTGCACGAAAAGGGCACAAAGGTGTATGAAACTTGACGATGTTGCTCTGCTTGGCCTGGATCCTTTTGATTTGAAGTTGGCTGAAGAACTTGCTACGTCTGATTTCTTCTTTGCGCCAGTCTGCACGGCCTCATCGTGTCTGGAACTTCGGGAACTGATCCACTCGATTCTCCCAGTCGACCAAAGCCAGTCAATCTGGGAATTCTCGGCTAGTGGCAGCTTCCCGAACTGGGCCAGTTCCGACCCACAGAACTGACTAGTGGATCTCGGTGTTTCTATCCATGTCTGGGGTGGTTTATGCATCAAGACCCTACACTTATGGAATATATGCCTGCATGGATGTCACATGGGAAGACCTCCTAAAGATCACCGATCACCTCCAGGTCCGCTTCGGGACAGACCTCGACTCGTCGATCAAGCATGGGCCCACCCACATGGACCCCTTCGATATCTTCGAGTGGACCTGGTTCAGCCCAGAAACGACCGCCGAAACGACCACCAGAAACGTGGTGCTGGCCCCAACGCTGAATTGCAGGGACCGTTGGAACAAACGGTTGATGCAGCTTGATGAGGCAGCTTGATGGATGCGACAGCATGGAACAAAGATATCCAATGAATGTTCTTTCGGCATGACAGTCATACAGATTGAACCCCCTCCTCCCAAAGAGGCAACGCACTCTTCATGCGTCAGGTTCCAACTGTTCTCTTGACCTCCAAACTGCGGGGATTGGAACCATTTGGAACCTCAAAAGATCTAAACACGTGTTGAAGGTCCATCACAGAGTCCACAAACAAGTTTTGAACGCCCCCAAATTCACCAAACTCTCCTCTCACCCTTTGACTAGTCGGGAGCCTTCGCGTACACACACAGACCAGAAAAAGAACGGTTGTTCAAAACCATGAACCCAGCGAATCACCGCTCGCTCATCACGCCGTTCGCACCCACCGGAGATCTGACAGTTCCCAGCCACCGGGCGGATGATGCGAGGCATCACTCCAGCCCTTTGGGGAACAAACATACGCCGAACGGCGGCCTTTGACAAGGACTCCAAAGCTTCAAATGCCTCAGCGCCGCGTCTCTCGGCGAATGGCGATCGTTCGTCTCGAAGCCGCCAGGCTGGCCCGACATCTGGGTGCAAAAAGTTCAATATATTCCTCCCCTGAAACTTGGAATGCCGGCTCACGTTCCGAAATGTTCCAATGAAACTTATAGAATGCCAAAAAACAATCTCCGGGGACCGTGGTGTTTTTAACAATTTTTTGAAACTTAGAATGCGGGGCTTTTGGGGTCATTCCAAGTTGCATCTGGGGACCATCTAAATGTATATATTTGCCGGCATTCCAGCTTTCAGTGAGGTTGTGGAAACAAAATCAATCAAATGATATATATCATATCATATACATACATAATCTGAGTCTTCCAGAATGAAAGCACGCACCCTTGAGCCTTCCGGGGCATTCTACGTTACAGCAAATCTTTGATTACGGTACACATCCCAGGGTTTTTGATCATGATTTGGTCACTGCCCGATACTTTTTATGTCCCAAACCCCTGTGTTTTTTCCCACGAATCTGTGCTCTGACATACCTGCAACCAAAATATGGTCCAAAAGTCCGTGGCTGCCATGGACTTTTGGGGGTACAGATCACCCCTCCATAGTTTCCAAACGAGCATTCCAAGTTTCAGGAGGAATATAAGGAGACGCCCTGGCCCAATGGTGTCTTTTAGCCTTTCTCGTTTCTGGTCGTTACCCGTTCCACACATGACGTCCCATGCAATGGCGACGCTTTGCTTAGAGTGAGGTAGACATGATATACCAGTGACCACCAAGGGGTGCCCCGTCTGGAAGCCGGCAGTGTGGGGCAGTCCAGCCAGGACACCCTAGGGAGACTGATTGAACCGATAGACGGGTCTACCCCGAACCGGACGGCGTCCCTTCCGTTCCGCATCCCTTCCGGTCGGACCTCCCGCATGCTCGGCTCCAGCACGTTGATCCCCGGGATCCAGTCGTACCGAACCCCTCAAAAGCTACAGAAGAGTGTCGAACATCCCTGAGAAGGTACTTCTGGATCCCTAAGGTCCATCTGAGAAGGTACCTGGACCCTAAGGGTGGGGTGAACGGTGTGTGGTCTGCAACGAACGACCGATGTTTAGGAGAAGACGCTGGCCTGAAGTGTGACTATACCCTAGGGCTCCTGGCCCACCTCCTGAGGTTCAGTGGTTGGGGTGGATTTTGGGGGTCTAACCACCGAACCTGAGGACATGGGACAGGAACCCTAGGGATAGTGACCATGAGTAGATAAAAAGGAAACATGCATCACCACGAGCATTCTTGACACAAACCTGATTCATATCGAGTCGGATGGCTGATCTGGATTCTGCACTGTGAAAAAACATGCCACACGCAATCTATAGACAGAGTTTCACTGTGAACGATTGCATTCTAGAACTTACACTCCCAAAAACGAAAATGGACCCTGAGAATGGAACCCAGAAAGACTGTTTTGCTCTACAAACCAGTGGTTTTCATGGTCCATATTTGTATTCAATCGGGTACACATCTCCTGTGGAAACCTTTTTGTGCACAGCTTACAGGTCATGGGATGCCCCATTCAACACAGGACACTGGTTCTCAAAAGACACCCAAACAACTGGATGTTATGTATCTAATCCACACAACTCCCAATGAGAGAAAGGATGTCCAGTCTTAAAATGCAAAAATAATAGGTACTTCGTGCAAACGATGGGCTTTCAGAGATAGGATTGGTTCTAGTATGTTCTAGTGAGTGATTTCCCTCTTTGAACCTTAGTGCGATGTGAACATATCCCTAGCGTCTTGGGCAGAAATTTCTGCCTATGAAGTTGGGCCGAAATTTTTCCCCAACAACAGACTCGTGCTTGGTAAGGAATAAGGCTGAATAAGGATGGCCGGATCCTAAGGCATCTCTTCTAGGGATTCCCTCCTGAGCAAGGGGTCTAAGTTCTAGGGTCTAGGCCTATAGGTTCTTCACTCCCTAAAGTCGTAAAGTCAGACGTTTGGGTATATCTTTGTCCGTGCTGACGGCCTATCTCCCGCCCAAAGCGCATCCTCTCCCGTCCTCTCCACCGAGCGGCGCTGGGCAGGGCGAAGGTCTTACATAACGACGTGGCGGCATCCACCAAGACGCGGCGGACATAACCTGGATGTGAGTGTGATGTGAGTGTCTCGGTGTATGGTACTACATGGTTACTATATATATATATATCCATTTGGACACAGCAAATCCTGGTCCTAGAAGTCTCTTAAGTCATATATCCCACACACTCCATGTATGCCATATTTACCTACATTGACCCCTTTTCAACCACCCCAACTGATCGGCATATATGCCAGTCCCATGGAGTGTATGGGTATTGTAGCCAGTAAAATGAGGTCTTTCAACTCATGAGGTCTTTCAACTCCATCGATCTCTCCCCAGGGGTGGCGGTGTTATCGCCCGGGAGGCCGGTGGCGACCGTTTGGCGTGGCGACCGTTTGGCCCGAGCACCGTTCGTCCGGTTTTGGGACACCCCGGTTTTTGGGCACCGAACGGAAGGCTATTGATACACACCTCGACACGGTGTCGGTGGTATATAAGCTATAGCCTATACCCCTTGGTGCCATAGTGCGAGCGCGGCGTCGGACCGAGCACCATGGAGGCTTGACGGATCAGCCAAAGGAGTGACAACATCGGACCGGGCACCAGCGAAACAGGATCGAGATCTCCTCCCCCAGAAAACCGCCGGGTGCCCCCCAAAACAGAAAGAACCTATATAGTGATGGGAACCCTATACCTTGCACTTTCAAGGGATGCCCAAATGGAGTATATATATATATATATATATCGTGTCTTATAATTATGTAACATACAGTCTGCTTGTCCATTGGTGGCCCCAAAGATCCCCGAAGCATAAGCAGCTGGCCTTTGTGTTGCGATTTCATCCTGATATATCAGATCAGTTCTGGTAGTTTGGAACTTATATACCTATTGCTTTACTATTTTTCACTTTCTATCAAGGTGCTTGGTCTAGAACCCGTGCTCGGAGTCCGCCCTGACGCCACCTTCGCACGCCAAGCCACGATCCGCTTCCTCGGCCACGGCCCGGCGCACGACCGCCGAGAGCTCCTCGCCCAGAAGACCAACGCGTGCGGCGTCCAAGGCAAGGAGCAACTGGCCGTGAGAGGAGTTTGGACTGGAAGAGTTCGACAATCCAACAGAGGTTGAAGAACCCTATATAGGCTATCCCATAGGTATTCTGGTAGGGTCCTAATTATAAGGTCGCTTGACCTCTGTTGGATGGCTGTATAGGAATCCGATGGAATCCGTGTGAATTCAATCGCTTCCAAATCCATCACAACTCAAAGATTCTCTTGCAAGGGGAACAGGCTGTTGCAAAAACAGAATCAGCGATCCATCAGTTCACTTGCATCAAATAGCCATAACATGCCGTGACTCATTTATTGACCCCTAAACACCATGACTGACTGACTGACTGACTGACTGTTTGATTGACACGGAGAAGAAAAATGCATCGGGGCGTGGGTAAGCCCTTTTGGCCCAGAAAGACCACATGACCGCGAAACGATGGAGACCGACCATCGCTCGGGGTCTCACACCACGAGGCGTTGGAAGGAACGCGGTTCGACACCCACGTGGTGGACCGGAAGGTTCGGCCGCCGTGGTGTTTGGTTCAAAGACACCTGACCTTACACACCAAAACAGATTGAACAAATAATTACCCCAGACCGGCTCCAGTCGTAGCTTCGTTTCGGTTTGGTGGGACTGGGGTGGGTGCAAAGGGTCCAGTCATACCTTTCTGAGGAGGTATGCTGGAGCCTTTTTGGTGGATAAACAAAATACAAGTTCTGCCACGTGTCCATGTTCCAACAGCCCTACCATCACCGCAACGTCAGCTCGCGCGGTCGCTCGCCTCGTGCAGCGTCCGCGCGGCTTCGGTGCGGACGACGCGGTGCTCCGTGGAGTCCAGCAAGACCTGCCCGGCGGTGCGGAGGTCGCGCGCATGTCTCGGGGAACTCAGGGTTCAATCCCGAATTCATGAGATGATGTATATACTACCAATGTAGGCCAAATATGTATTGGGATACTTCAAGAGATATGTTCCGGGGTCATCAGGAGTCAATGTAGGCATATTGACATGGAATAGTTTTACCATATGTATGTATTGGAACAGTTTTTGAAGATCTCTTCAGGGTTTGGGGTCCAATTGAGTGGGAGGTGCCTGCATATATATATATATCCCGAGGGCTCCAAGTACTTCCTTAGAAGGTATGACTGGACCCTCCTGGCAGCCACCTCAGTCCCACCTTCGAAACGAAGGTACGACTGGAGCCCAAACGGGTATATGGGGGTTGTTCTTTATTCAGTTGCAGGGCATAAGGCTGAAAAGCCCTTGCCCTCTCTAAAGCCTGTCTCTATACGGGGGTTTCGAACGGCTCCCATATATGTTATCATAATATGTTTCAACTTGTAAGATGTCACGCTCCAGTAGACATGCCACGGCCTTTCCTGTGTCTTCGTCAACCGGTTCCTGGAAGTTAGTGCAAAGGTTTCTGACCTAAACACTCCATGAGACTGGAAGCCCACATTGACCCGAGGTCAACCACCGCCTCATCGGCTACGCCAGTCCCAGACAGGTCGTGTCTGGTTTTTTTTGTTTTTGTTCGCTTCTCTCGTCCTGCCCTCCACGGCTCCCCCAGTGGATCCAGTTGCCATAGGTAACCAGTGGTTTCCATATAGTGGTAACTGGGGAAAAGAACCACGAACCCATATCGCCACCCTACGCAAGTACAGTGCAGTCCATACTGCTGGGAAAAAAAGACACACTCCATGGTCCATGTATAGAACAACAAGAAACTACCAGGCAAGCATGGCAATCCCACGACCTTGAGTCTCCAATGACCCTTTGACGGTCTTTGGAGTCTCCTGCGACCAAGAAGAAGCCGCCAAATGCGGTGCCTCGCCGCTCTTGCGGAGCAAGCCCATCAGCCAGGGCGCATTCCCCGCGTTCACCGCGTTCGGCGTGCTGCTCTCAAGGAGGCGCAGGGAGCTGAGCGCTCGCCTCGATCGGAAGCGGGGTGAGAGTGGAGATAAATCCGTTGGCTCATCAGGCAGCATCAGGGTCGAATTGGTGCTTTTAAGTCGGAAAACTTTGGTGAAGATGTTGAGACATGTTGAGATTCAACGGAAGGGGCTCATTCGAGCTGTGTATTTTTTGCGAAGCTATTTAGGGGGACAGCCACTAGGTACCCATACCTCCGCGAAGCTTTCGCCAATCTCTCTACCCAAGCGTTTTTGCTTACGTGATGGTGCTGTATGATGTTGTATTAGCTTTATTCTACAAAACACCTGCATGAAAAACACGTCCTTCGCAAAATGCCTTCGCAACGAAATGTCTATGCAAGCCTTCACGCGTGATGAAACACGCGAGGAATGTTTTCGCAGCCATGACAAGAGTGTGTTCCAGGAAAAAGAATGCAACTCATTTAGTTGGTGCGGTGTTTCCAACCAAGCGCCAGCCGGTGCCAGGATCAAAGGCCAAATGTTTGTTGAACTTGTCGACGGGACTTCGTGAAGAAGTTAAGACACTCAAAGGATGGAAGAAGGGGAGGAGCGGAAGACTGTCAGGGGCGCGAGAACATGTTGGGGGATAATAAAAGGACTGTGATAAATACACTCTGATTCACATTCCATGAAAGTGGAAAACTCATGAACACCCACTGTTCAGAAAGGAATGTCGTCTTCCAAGGGACCATGTCCTCCATTTCTCATAGAACCAAAGTCGGTTCCAGTACGTACGCCAACATCTCGGAAGTGGTGTGTCTCCTTTGAACGTCTCAACTGGCCTTGTCCTGAAGGTGATGTGATCCCTCAGACAAACGTGTGGGAAATCGGGGAGAATATACCCATGTCACAGCTCAATGGGAGTGTATCAGAAATGATCTCGCAAAGTGGCAAACCTGGTTGGTTGATTCATTGGGCAATGTGACTATTCTTAAAACAAACCAGGCCTTTGAGGATTGCTGATTCCAGCTACTCCAAAACAAGTAATTGGGGCCTTCATCCCACATCTCAAGCGTCCCAGGGAATTTGTGCACATTTGGAGGTCACTGTGGTCAGTTCGAACAAATACATGCTGAAACATCGCAAGTGTGTTACCTTAGCCGGGCGACGTTTTTGGTGTTATCTTCAGTTCCTCCGACTCGGAGCTTGGGCCTCCTCTCTTGCGGAGCTTGGCGGGTTTCAAACAAGGCCAGCTGCAGCTCGTAGAGCCTGGCCGTTGGCTTCAGCGAGCGGTCGACGGCCGTCAATCCCAAAACATATGGACCACATGAAAAAAGTGGAAAACCACAATGCCCGGATTTCATTTTTAGGGCTCAAGAAGGAGCTCAAAAAGACAAAACGAAGACGTGCAAAGTCTGGTTTCGGAGCTAGTCAAGACTTTGGTGTCCTGGACGTCCAATGAGACGGTGCCAAACCAGCTTTTCACCTGAAACCAACGGCGGTGCCCGTTCTGTTCTCCAGAAAGAGTGATAGCGAAAGCGCCCTGAGTCACGGTTCAGAAAAAACATGTCCTGTCTTCAAGGACCTCCAAGACCTCCACGACTGCACTCCAATCCATTAATCATGGGCTCTTTGAAGTGAATGCATTTCATATTTAAACAACAATCACTTCTTTTGAGTTAATAGCGATGGCCCTAAGAGCAATGGCCCATATGTATATATACATTCATCATGTTTGCTGAAGCAATCTGGGCAAAATGTCAGACTTTACCACTGAACATCATCTGAACATCTGGACAAAACATACAGAAAAGGACTCTGACTCATACCTCAGAAAAGAACAACTCTGATTGAATCTCCTGATGCTGTGCCTAGCCACCCAAGCCAATGGCTGGATGCTGCTTTGACTGGAATATACGGTTCGGACACCTTTTTAGGAGGACAGGTGAATCCTGGTCATCCCCTCCTGCGCTCCTGGCTATCCTCAGAGAAGCTGATCCTGACCCCCCTGCCGCCCATTCCATCTTCGAAACAGAGGGGGCGGCTAGGACCAGGAGCCTTGGGGCGCCCGGAAGGGGGTCAGGTTTAGGGTTTAGGCTTTAGGGTTTAGGGTTCGATCCACCCGAACCGATGCTGCTCAAAGAAGAGAACGTTCTTGGCCTCGGCAGGCTGGCATCCTTGAATTCCTGCGTGTGCGTGCGTGGTGCCCAACGGCCCCGGGAAGCAACAAACTGAGTCTACGACTTGGATTTGCTTGAGGAATCGTGAAAAAAAAACTAAAAAACAACATATATAGTTCTTCACCCATATTCCCCAGCTACGGACCCAGTTTGGGAACAAGACAAGACGCCTTTCCGAAAAAAAAACAGGATGAGCCTCTGGGGCCCGGGGGGGAATCTGTGAGCTTGGTCAGGGGAAGGCTCTCGGGGTCTGCCCAGGGTTCTCAGATATTCTCAGAAGGTACAAATCTGATGATGTTTTAGTAAGATGTGTATCAATAGTATTAACATTAATAATATGTTCAATAAATGAATCAACTATATTACTTTAAAGACTTTAACTACATTTACCTTCTCACAGGGTGGCAGTGGATCCATATAAGATCAGGCTTCGACCTTCAATAAACACTCTTTTGCCCATGCAGAATGCTTGGAATATCAGACGGACTGCTTGGATCTGATTCAGCAGGGGTCCCGCCAAGCTTCGCCGTTGGGACTCCAAATCGGCTTCGCCGAACACAAACGGACTACTTAGGCTTGGGTAACTTAACAGGGGGGGTGGGGTGTGAAAGAGTGACTAGGGCGTACACGGTAGAGGTGCAGACCGCTAGTGTCTTTTATGCGCAGAGTCTTATCCTCTTGCTCTTTGAGCCTTGAAGCAGTCAAGCATGGACACACTATATCAGCTGTTGGAGTGGAACCCTGTACAGGTAGGCTCTACTTTTCAGCAGGCACAAGATTCATGTCCACTTCTAGCTGATTGCGTATGTCGCATACTCTTTTCTACTGCAAGGCTAAAACAGTCCAGCTAGCTCTGACAACTTAAAAGAAAACTACGGTGCCATGTACTTACCTAATCCAGTGTGTTTCACACTTCAGAGAAGGTAATCTCATAGCTACTAAATACAGTGAGGGAGCAATAGCTGACTCACCTCAAGTACAAAATCAAAGCGATAATGTACCTCGGCTGGAGACTGTACTTTTCGCAGGCGGAGATACCATGTACCGGCGCTCACTAGCTCTTTATGGCCTGAGCTAAATCAAACTAAAAGGGAAAGCGGCTTTTTCTCTACAGAGACCTATAAAAGAATCAAACGACACTCGCGTAACAAGGAACTAAAAATTCAAGACCGCACAAATTGCAATGAATTAAGATGCCTTGCAAAATGCAAGGAGCGTACGGTCCGAGGAATAATCTTCTCGTGACGTGGTCTCGACCGCTTTCATTCACAGACAAAATAAACTGCATCAAAAAGACTCTCTTTCACATTCACATCAAAAACACAAGAAGGAGATACCGGCAAATGTATGTACAAAAAGCTTGCACTACAATTGCAAATCATGAAATGACTTAATCATCAACCATGACTGGTTGTCCATTAGAGGTCATCTCAGAAAAGCGACTGTGATAGATATCATCAGTTATGCAAAACTGTCCATACCTATCTACATGCTAAAGCATATAAACCTGGAATGCAGGAGTATCTTCTTTGATAAAAGGTTTCTCCTCATTGCAACTAGAATTTATTAAAACTTCAGCCCGGCAACTTAAAGTCAAGCCTGGAAGCAAAGTATCAACTGTAACCAGAAGTATCTTCACTTCCTAGCCATCATTTAAATTTCAGCCTTCGCTCGGAAATTATGCCGCTGCAAACGATGAAGCTGCTTGATCAGAAGTTGGCGGCCTTCCTTTCTTTCTATTCTGCTTCTGTCTCTCCTTCCTCCGCACGTTCGCCTCATGAAGCGTTGCTCCCATGCGATACTGTCTTCTGTCTCCAGATGAAAAGGAAGCTGGTCTGAGTGAAATAAACATTGGACCATGACTATCCTCGTCAGTGGGCCTTGAGCACATAACCTCTGTATCAATCATAGCAAAGTTCTCTGAAAAATTACAGATGAACTCCTTCGTGCTCACTGTGGAATTTTCATATTCCTCTTCACTCATTGAATGACCCCATTCAACAATGGTAGACAAGCATGTATCGCCAAGCTGTGATCCTTGGTATTCTTCTTTCTCAACAGTAGAGTATTCTTCCCAGAGTTTATCAAAGTAAACTTCACACTTCTTGAGGACCTGTGAAGTTGAACTGTAAAATGTTCTGGGAATAGGTGCTTTGATACCAGGATCTGCTTTTACACGAGCTTCTGAAAACCTGCGGATCCAATGCTGCATGGTGCTGTAATAGTAGTTAGCCATTGGCTGCCTTTTGTACCCAGACATTCTGTAGGCCAAACTATTTGCATCACCAGAAATGATGTCCACCTCATAGACAAAACACTCGTAAAGCATCAATGCTGTCTGTTCTCCTGTCAGTAGGTGGGCATCCACAGCACGGTGTGTATCAACATGATAATTACAGACTCTGATGGTATGCATGTTCGCTCGAGTAGGTGGAACACGCTTGTCCTCAGGACCATAGTCATCAAATTCAAAGTCTGCATCCTTGAAATCTTGACGAGGCCTTGTTTCTCCAAAACAAATCTCGTAGATAGCCCAAGTTACATCACGCTGTTCACAGTGACCAAGGTCTTGGTCATGTCCAGCAATGATCTTGACATATCCACCTGGTGCCAATCTGGCCATCACTGCAAGATTCTCCCAATCATTGAAACAAACTGTCCAATTCTTTTGCTCAATAAATTCCTTGGCAGGAACAAGAAGATGAGCTTCCTGGAGAATCACGACATGTGCACGTAAAAAGAAGAGCATGTTGAAGAAAAGGTTGTTCTCAAATTGCTCATTCTGAAGTGACATGGCGCTCTGTTTGCGTGGCCTCATTGCACTATCAAGTCCTTGGAGAAACCTTGGTGTGGTGTACTTCTGACCACGAACCATGTTGCCATAGTTCCAGGATAAAAATGTCAAGGACTCTGAGCTGGCCAATAAGTTAGTTCCATATGGTTCTTCTATTCTTCCCTTGAGGAACCTTCTGCACAGCTCTTCATAGAAGGTGACAAAGTCCCAACTGGGTCCCTTGGGACCATATGATTCCAGTTCCTTCTTGAGTTCCTTCTTCGTCTCCTCCAATTCTTCTCGAGCATGTTCTGCCCTTTCAAGGGCCTTTGGATCGACCTGATACTTGCCATCCAAATAAATGATGCGATCATCATTGATAAAGAATCTCTTCAAATCATGCTCTGGTTCATGTTCATAACAATCAGGTGGAGGTACTGGACAGGCATTACGAATGGATCGAACAAAATCATTCTCGTTGATCCTTGACTGATAATGAGGATGGGAAATCTCACCTTTTCTGAAACAAACATGATTCAGCAATCTTGCGTGAGTTTCCCTGAAGCATAGTTGATAAAGGCCAATACCTGGATCTCCTGCAAGCTCTCCAAGCAACTTCAAAGGTGAAGTATGCAACTCATAGGTATTGTCAACCTTTGTAGTATCCTTTTCAACAACTACTTCAGATGGAAAAGATTCTTGGATTTCAGCCTCCAATTTCTTCTCTCCATCATCCTCTCTGACCTGTTTTATTTTCTCCACCGCCTCTTTCTTCTCTTCCATGGTTGCATCATCCTGAACTTCTTCATGAAAATGAGGATCAGGAATCTTATTCAGGCGGCTTTTCTTAGATTTCCGCTGACCTGAAGTATCATCAAGGTTAGCATCCATCTCACCTGATGGTAAGTGCGATGCAGTCGAGTCCTCACCTATCTCTCTTGACAGAAAGTGTGGTGTTGACTCTTCCTTGGCTTCCTCCTGGTCCACTTCCATCTTTGGTTCCTCTGAAGGAAAAACACCTGCATCTTCATCAAATATTTCTTGTTCCTTTCCAGGTTCAACTGCAGGATCTTCTTCAGGAACTTCCTCTTCCATATTCTCATCTTCTAGAAGTGTCCTACTTCCAGTATAGACTTCACCAGCGATAGTGGAGACTCTTGTATAAGGAGGAACTTCTTCACCTGCTTCAAAAGCTTGTTCTGCAACATCCTTGGTGAGCAAGTCCTCTACAAGATTTTCTCCCTCGGTTCTTGGAAGAGGTCCTGAGGTCTCATAAAAATCTGTCCTCTCTGAACTGAAAGCTTCTGTCGCCTTCTCATTGTCCTTTTGATCCCTGAACAGGTGAGTAATCTTCACAGCTTCTCCCTGTAGCACCTGATCACCTCCTCTATACTTGTCGACAATGGAGCGCCATACTGGAACATCATCATCATCAAAATCAAGCTCCATATCATCTGCCAACAGGTATGAGATGTTTTGAGCTGCCTGTTCTTCTTCTTCATCACGTTCTTTGGCAAGCTCCTCATCCTTCTGGATCTTGAAGATACCCTTCAGGATGTCTTGTAGTACCTTTAAGTTCAGCTTCGATGATGGCTCATACGTCCCTGAACTTACAGGCTCAACTACAACACGAGCGCAAGAAATCGCCTCCAAAAACTTGGAATTGTATTGGCGTTCAAACTCTTCCTTCTTGATCATCTCATACAAGGGATCAGAAACTGCAACACGCGCCTGAACATACTCACGAAGTTGATAGCATGCATGTTGCACAAATCTACTGTTGGAGTTGTGAAGAAAACTCTCTAAATGATTCCTGTCACGGTCAATCAAATACCACACAATCCTTGCAGAAAAACGGAATTTCTTGAAGTTCATAGCAAAATGTGTATGATACTTCTCTGGATTCCTTTCTGCTTGTAAGGCGGCCTCTGAAGTCTTGTAGGCTGGGAGATTTGTGTCTGGATCCAAAATCATAAACTCTTCCCACAAGATCGAATGGTCAAGAACCCACTTGGGAAGCACCTTGATGAAAAAGTCACAAACAAGTTCCGACAAGGTGCATGACACGACCAATCTCTTCCTCCTGCTTGAAGCGATACTGCAATTTGGCAAACAAGGGATTGTTGAATGCTTCCTCCACTGTATTGCCAAAATTATCCCACTGAGGTTCTGGAATACCAAAGTTCCAACCCAGCAATTTGGGATCTCTGCACATATCCAAGAAGCTTGAAAG